AAATATAAGTATTTTGTATAAATTCCTATAACCCATTTTAAGTATTTCATGGTCTTTAATTCAGGGTGTATATATCTGTGTGTGTGTGTGTGTGTGTGGGTGGGGGGGTCACTGAGGTTCATGTTCAACAATTTGGGTGTTTGCACAGCAGTAATTATATATGATTACAACTTATATCATATGACAGTCCTACACATCATCACAGTTTTGGGTTGACACTGCAACCACTTTATTTGAGAATATGTATACTGCCCATAGAAAATCCAATAAAAAATCTCTTCATTTGTTACTGTTATTGTAACACAAAGGTGAGATCATGTTACTACATGTTTATTAAGAATATTTTAGCACATGTGTAGGTTTAGTCTTTCGGGGGAAAGTCACTGCCTTCATATCTTCATCCCTATCTCTTTTTTTTCTTTCCCTTTCATAACTTAATCTTCTTCCATTTCTTCCCCATCCCTTTTTACTTCTCTGCTCTATCATCCTCTCTCGCTTCCTCCTACTTTATATTTAAACATTTTATGTAAACATCACATAAAAGTGTTTTTATGAAGATGTGGAAGTATGTACATGTTGTTAAATGAGGCACAGAGAGTGACAATTAACCTTTAACGTCCGAATGACACATATATATGACGCAAGCAGCAACCTGAGTTGACTGAATGGCACATATATGTGACGCAGGACACGTGCACTCTCTGGGAGTGCTGACAGTTTGACCTTGGATTTGAAATCAAAACAAACCCATGTGAGGTCATGTCAGTGGTTCATTCCTTAGCTCTGAACAAAGAAATCGTTTAGCTCTGTCCTGGTTTCAAAACTATTAATGTTTATATATGACTCTTTGTGACCCGGTCAGCCAAATATAGCCCAGCTTTGTTCTGAGAACTGAAGAGGAATTGCAGATCAGTGAGCTTTCAAGGAAGTGTGACGTATTCAAGGGTTGGTTTTCATTGGCGAATTATCAGTTAGGAAGTCAGTGTTGGATTGTGTAATATTTCTTTTTCACTTAAAAAGTTAGTGTCAGACTGTCATATATTTCTTTTTATATTATTTTGTGTCTTGGAAGAGGTAGAAACCCACAGAGCCGGTATTACTTTGTGAGTCAAAGGCATCTTCGTCACCGTGACTTTCCGTATCAGTGTCGGACTGGCACCTTTTCAACTACTATTTTTTATTGCTAGTGGGGTGGGACTAAGTCCCTTGTACTGCTGCCACTTCTGGTCTATTGAACCATACTATTACAGTTACTTTGCATCACTATTTTGTGAGTCTTTGTCAATCAACATAATTTATTCGATTTTGCTGGAAACCCCCTCACCTCCAAGATGGAACCTCAAAAACGTGCCCGATATTCCAAACTTCTCGATGCAGAAGAACTGGAGGAAATATTGATGGAAGAGGAATCTGATGAAGAGTTAGAAGATATCAATGAGTTCACTGAACCTCGAGCAAATATGTCGTCGGATGAGGCAGAGGAAACGGAAATTAGGTTTCGTGATAGAAGACCCGGGGATTCACCAAAGGTACTAGACTTCACTGGTCCTCTGAGTGGAATCAACAGATCAGCTGCTCCCAATATAAATGCACAGTCCTCTCCTTTTTCCATTTTCATTCTGTTTTTCCAACAAATATTCCAAATCTTGTTACAAGAAACCAACAGATATTTCCTCCAATTTATGGCATGCCAAGATGCTCCTGGCCCTTCCGTTCAACTGCCTGACGTTACAATTGAAGAGATATACAACTTTTTGGCAATAATTATTCAAATGGGCCACGATCAACAGGACACCCTCAAAGATTATTGGTCAAGAGATGAGCAATACTACACTCCATTCTACCGTAACACCATGGTATGAGACCGTTTCTTCCATATTTTGAGATTCCTACATTTTGAAAATAACAAAGCTCCTCCCAATCGAGATGACCCAGAGTATGATGCGATTTCTTTGGGTATACTTATGACATGACAGTTTATTTGGGCAAACAAAGGCAACTTGCGACAGAAGAAATTACATTGACACATGGCATTGTTCTCCAGCTAATTCGAAGAGTAGAAGGCTTGGGACACAAAATTTACATGGACAATTATTTCAGTTCTCCTGCTTTATTTGACGATCTTTTAGACAGGAAAATAAATTCATGTGGCACCGTTCGCAATGATAGATGTGGAATGCCACAAGAAATTTGGCCCAAGTCAATGAAATTGAAAAAAGTGGATATTGTTACAAGAGTCAAGGGGCATCTAAGTGTTGTTCACTGGAAAGACAAGCGTGATGTGTATGTTCTGACGAATTTGCACCCTCCTCCATTGGAAGGCAACTTCCGAGATGAATCTGGCCATGCTGTCAAACCCCATTTAATTGAAGACTACAATGCATACATGGGCTTTGTTGATAAATCTGACAGGATGGTAAACAGTTATGGCATTGTTAGGAGGACACGGAAGTGGACAGAGAAATTGTTATTCCATCTTCTAGAAATGACTATTCTAAATGCATATCTATTACACAAGTCATGTGGTGGAAAAATGACACACATAAAGTTCCGCGAAATATTTGTGTGGGATTTGATTCTTCAGTCGCATGAGGCGAATATCACAGTCAGTGGCATTTCTCAGGGGACGCCAAGTTCATCTGGGGCCCAACTGAGTCGACTGGAGGTGAAACATTCACAACACTGGCCAACCAAAGGAAAACAAAGACATCGTATTTGTTCTCAGAATAAGAAACGCAGAAGCATGCTCTACGACTGTAAAAAGTGTGACGTTGCACTATGTGTGGTGGACTGCTCCGAGAAGTGGCACACATGCGTCAGAGTGTGAGTTATCGTAAACTGTGAAGTGATGCAGTTCAAACTCGCGTACAGTCTGAATAAAATATTATTGTATATAGTGTGATTATATTTACAATATCACCATGATTCAAGGTTGAAGAAAAAACAATGGGTAAGTCCTTTGGAATTTTTCAATTCAATTCAATTCATGTTTATTTATGTGCAATAACTTAATACCACAGTGGCCAATTACAAAGTTAGCACGAGTATATAAAGATACAGAAAAATAATTAAACAATACAAATATGACAGAAATAAATCAGTGAGCATAAATCTAAAGAAGACTTAAATATATACATATATTTATGAATTATGAATTATTATGAATGTTGCTAAAACTGTTAGCAACTGGATACAAAGATAAGACAACTGAGAGTGACAGCATAAAATTAATAACAAGTCTAATAAATTAATACCAATTACATAAGAAAAAAAGTTAGCCGAGGTATACGCATTTGTAGTTAATGAGAATGCTAATCCAGTAACACTATAAAAGGTTTGGTACATGCTTGTAAAATATGATTCAGAGAAACCGCTCTGTGTGCAAATATGCCGAGATCTTTACCCACTACGTTGGTAGCAAGGGCGCACCAAGAAGAGGAACAGTGTCTTTTTGAGGGACGAATGCTAAAAGTAGAGAAGTTTCGAACATGGCAAGTAGGAACACGAAGACTAGCATTATCCAGAAGGGAGGAGCAGGATTCAAGGCCACAATAAACCTGAATGAAGAAGAGTGCATCAAGATGTCTATGCAGACTTAGAGGGTGCAATCTTAGTCTCTCTAAGGCAGATGTATAACTATAGGAGCTATGAGGGAAGTAATGATAGAAACAGAGAGATGCAAACTTTTTCCGGATGCACTCAAGTTTTGCGGAGCCAGTAGATGTGATAGAATTCCAAGCTACCAAGGCATATTTCATATATAATAAAGATTATATTTTGCATTTCATGACAAAATATTCACAGTTAATTTTCTTTTGTAAAACTTGCTCTTTTATGTATATGTAGAAAATTTTGTCTTTCAGATTCTTTTTAGTTCATATTTCTATGTTGCATAGAACGGAAAATATGCATTCTTTTCTGAAAGTTTGCAATGATAATTAATTAGGGTGATTTAAATTCTGGCCGTACAGGGCTGCTGGCAATTTAAAAGTCCGTACGTTAAAGGTTAATGTCATGTCAGATAATGGGAGTAAATATGTCCTGCGTGGGCTCAAATGTGTACAAGACCATAACATTTTCCAAGAGGTTTGCATCTTATTTGATATCAAACATTAACTCCCAGTTATACAGATATCAGATTGATGAATTTTCTATAAATTTCTAGTGTATTCAGCCATGGTATTATATTCCCTGATGATTTTGGCAAGAATGTGCTATCACACACTACTTTCAAAATGTCTTCACTAGAGTAATAATATAAAAAACTAAACTTCCTTAGGGCCCCCATACACACACAGTTTGGCCTCCAGTTCAGCCTGCAGAGTTGAAGACTGAAAGGCAAAACTGACGTGTGTGGTGCGGCCGGCCGGCCAATCGTTTGGACTGTTGGCCTGTGGGAAACCTGTCAGTCCGTCAGTTCTGCCTGCAGGACCATAGCACATGACGTGTGTGACTCAACATTATAGGCTGGAAGACCGTGATTGTGGCATGAAGCCTGCCGCTTTATCTGCGTGTGTATGGGGAGGAAAGGGAGGGGGTAAACTGTCACAGTTTTGCCTGTAAGGTCGATCAGAAGGCCAAACTGTGTGTGTTTATGGGGGGCCTTGATCTGAATCCCATAGATATGGGCCAAACTCAGGACCAGTGTCACCATTGGTGAAAGAAATAATTTTTTCCACCTCAGAAACTAAAATCCACAGACTTGTTCCTTATTATGACTGCACTGTAGGTGAAGGCAATGCCTTGTTTAAGAACTGCTAGAAATTCAATGTATGAATCAATCACCATTCCTACACATTAACTTTCAATGTCCTAACAAAGTATCAAGTTCTGGATTTAAAAACTTTAGTTTTTACTATTATTAAAATTCATTACTATTACCAAAGACATGAGTAAAAAGCTCAGCGTCAAGAACTGTTCCAAAGCGCAGAGTGAAATGAAGTGTCTGTGGTGTAGAATATCGCCTCAAGTTTATATAAATATCACCAGTTCTCTCTCTAATCTCTGAAAATGGGACAACATCTGACACTGGACAGTAAATATCAACACGTTTGCCCCAGAAATCCAAATATGAAATTTTAATTCTACTGCTATCAGAACTAAGATAGATAGCACCCACAAGCTTATAGAAGATGATACCAAATGAATGTAGGACACAGCAAGTCATACCACCTGTAACACAGAAGAATGTTACATTTCAAATTAATCTCAGATCTGTCTCAAGAATGACTTGTAAAACTTATAATCTTTGTGAGTTCTGACAAATACATATCAAAATTCCCTGGCTTTATTCCAGAAGATCAAAAAGCAAGAGTATTCTTCAGTGATAACACATTTTTTAAACAAATGAATCACAGTTAGGTATCCTTCATGTTTATTAAACAACATGTCATTAAAATAAACAGCTTACTTAATTAACCACTTCAGTTGTGTTCCTAGAACTTTTGCATGATTAATTCTGTTCCTACTTGGTATATTTCAGACAACTTTCCAGCTTTGGAATAGACAACATACCTAGAGCAATAAAGGCTGTCATTGTATCAATGCTGATAACGTCAATCAATTTCAAAAGGGCACTAGTAGGTAATCCTGCAGCTGACACTACTGTGAAATGTTTCTTCAATTTGTTAACAATACCGCCAACTCGTGTATATGGAAATCTGTACAGGACGCGGTAGTCTTTAGAGGTCATACTTGTATCCATTGCATTTCGTACATTTTCATTCCTTGTTCCGATAGACTTTAACACATTAAAAAGTGGTCTGGATTCGTTTTTGGAATCCGAGTAAGATTTACAGTTGAGGTTATGGTACCCATGTGCTGTGTATGATGGTAAACCTAACCTCAAAACACTATTGTTACACCAACGAACTGCATGTACATTGCGAAGAATTCCTCTGAGTTGGAACACCATACTGAAAATTCTATTTTGTTTCGGGACAATATGGCTAAAATCGTGTAACTGTATTCTCCATACCACTTGGATATATATTCCTTCGGTATAGCCCGGAAATGGTAGGCTTGAAATCCGTTCCTTAACCCATACAATCCATACGATCCATACCGCTCAGTGTCGTTCCTTGCTGATGGACAGCAGTCAGCTGTTTGGAGATAGGTCTGTACGTTAAGGCATGTTGCTATGGAGGACACGGATTTGAAACAAAATGTTGTGTACAAATTAAATCTTGAATTCGGAAAGGATATCAAATCTATCGAGAAAAGCCATGATTTATATAAGAAACTTCAAGAGGAGAAAAATTCTATAGAAAAATCAGTAAGTTATTTTGTAACTACAGCATCGGGAGGTTTTAAAGCTACTGGTACTGATTTAAAATGACTGTACTCAAAATTTGCCAGTTCTCATCTTCAGTGAACAAAAATTTCATTAATTGTGATTGCTTTATGGTTTTTATTGATTGTAACTTGGATTCATAACAAGAACTATTACTCTAAAATATTCACACAGATATAATTTATCAAACTTCTTTTGTATAATGTGACAAATTTATTTAACATTATATATACATATTATTGAAAATAACTAATTTTATACAGATATTCGTATTGGTAGAGAGATTATTTTCTAAATGACAGAGATTAATCAGTTGATTGCCAGAAATCCAGTATCTATTGTAACCTCTTCCTGACTAAGAGAGGTTACAGTAACCCCTCATTCTAATAGCACTGTAAAGCTCCTTTTTACACTATGATTAATCCTCTATGGCCCCTGAAATTAGTCTTATTATTTCAGCTTTCACTTGCTAGTAGTGAAGTACCTTCAAAAGTGAGTGCAGCTGTGAAGGGTGTTGAAGATACCAGTCTTGAAATAAACAGACTCATAGACAAGTTTGATGCTCTTAGCTCAGCTGTTGGAAATCAGCTTACGAACAGTGAAGGAATAGCCATTCAGCTACAAGAATATATCGATAAGATAGATCTTTTAGAACGGACTTTAGCATATTTGCAGTGCATCAAAACCATTGAAGACATAAGGTAAGGGTGAACCTGTAGGATTTGAAATTCTCACAGTGGTGACTGAATAGTTCCTGACTTCTGGGATGCCATGTCATATAATCTAGTAGATATTTGCTATTACTTTTGGGAACATGCATCATCTGTCTTCAGGATAAAGATGGAGGCAGCGCACTCCACTGAAACATTTGTAAATGTCTCCTAGATTATGTGGCATCACGTCCCAAAAGATGGAAATCAAAGCATGAATTTTTTGCAGAATAATCATTCATCCATATTCAGAGGGTTATATGATGACAAACTTCAGAATTCACATCTGTTTCAGTAAATAAAAAGTGTTGTGATAGGTGAGACATGCATTATGACTTTTTCAACAAGCTACACATATGTACATGCAAAATCATGGAGGTAAATGTTTAGGAATAATTTGGTTTGACATGATCTTTCATTTCATTTCATTTTTATTATCATTCAACAATCCATACATACAGGTATTACAACCATTTGGATAAGGAAATTGTCAGTTTTACGTCTAATTCTTGTGCATATCTTTACAGTATACACTGTACCACCCTAATATAGGGGATTTGTCATCTGAATAATATTATCTAGATCTAGTTACCATTAATTTCATTGCCTTTACACAAATACAACAGATTAATCAGCTGTATATTACATTTACACACTTGATGAATCAAAAGACGTAAATTCATCTACAGAATAAAAGGAATGTTTCAGCAAAAAAGATTTTAATTCCTTTTTAAATGAGTTAAAGTTTCCCTTTGTTTTATTTGATTGGGGACCTTATTATACAAACCAATTCCCATATTTATCACACTCTTAAAGAGAGCTGTATTACAGTGCTGTACATGAAAATTTAATTTTTTTCGTGTGTTATTATTACAAATGTCTGAATTTATTGCCATAAAAACCTTGTATTTTTTGATAAAGCATGTCACCTCCAATATATACAGAGAAGGCAATGTTAAAAAATTGTAATCTTTAAAAATTTGTCTACATGATGTACGACTACTAATACCACTAATCACTCAAAGAACCTGCTTTTGCAATTTAAAAATGCTTTTACTTTCCCCATCCCCACCCCACAATAAGATACCATTTCTCATATATGACTCAGAATTCGAAAAATAAATAATTTTTATCATATATGGACTCATTATTTCTTTTAATATTTTCACCATATAAATTACTTTGCATAGCTTTGCTTTTAGAAATTGAGCATGAGCGCACCATTTTAGGGTTTCTTTCATGTGAATTCCAAGAAATCTCAATTCTGACTGATAATCTATTTCTGTATTATTAAAAACTATTTGTGGTCTTAACGGATCTCTCCGCTGTTTTGAATGAAATGACATGGCAGATGTCTTTTTAGTATTTATCACAAGGTTATTTTTTTGAAACCATATTTCTAATTCTTTCATAACATTCATTACTTTATATTGAAGGTCAAGTTCATCTTTTCCAGTAATTAACAAATTGGTATCATCTGCATATAAAACCAGCTTTGCTCCTTGAACATTTTCTGTAAGATCATTAATGTATAGTAAAAATACCCCTTTTACCCTTTTTTTTAAGGTTCATGGAAATCATTTCATTCAAAATGTATAAGTAGAATACACAGATATATACAGTGTATTTCAGCTTTAATGATTGTCTTCTGTTTAAAAAATCAGCCTGAAAATTGGTACTAGACCCCAGGTTATCAAATTTAAAATGTGTTTTGATGCATTGTACAAATAATGGGAACGTGATCTTACATTCCATCTTGGATATTTTGAATATCTGAATAAAGGAAAAGAAAATTTTTTTTTTTTTTGGTGAGCAAATTCAGGTATAAGGGAAAGACTGGTGACTACAGGAGAAAAATTGATACCAAATCATTGCTTATTTTCATATCTAATTATTCACATTTAGTTTATATCTGTTAATCTTTTAAACATCTCTGGCCAAAATGAAGTCCTGGGTACCATTGCTGTACATATGTATTTCTAGAAGCATTGCAATCATTGCAGTAGCATCTCATCTCCAAGAGTGTAGAATTTTGAGGGGGGGGTTAAGATATCCATGTAACAGTCAGTGGAGGCCCATGGGGTTATGATATGTCAGACTCCCACATTTTCTAGACATTTGGCTGACAGATGGCGGTGAAGTTATCAAAACTAAATAAAATGAAGTTTCTAATAATGGAACCAGGAAGTTTAGGAATTGCCATTTGACCGAATTCTGAGCTAGTTCAGTGTGGTTATCTCATCACAACTTATTTTTCGGGCAATAAACGCATGCTAATATCTTTCAAGACTCAATTTTTAAACATTTTAAGGAGCAGCCTATCAAGAGATTTATGTACTAAATTATATCAGCTGTTCAGCTGATTGTAATCTTGAATCAACTACAATAACAGTTAAGCTTATAGAAGAATATTAATTTTTTGGATGTAATCCTGTGTATTCCAGTACATGATCACCTTGAAGAGTAAGTCAAGCAAGCAGCCAGCAAGCAAAGTAGCAAAATACAAAATAAATATGTCAAAATCTAAGGAGATAAAGAAATGAAGGAGCTTAAGGAGAACCATGGGAAGATGGGGTAACCAGGACAAAAGGACCTCAGGGAGAACCAGTAGGAGGAAGAAGAAGAATAAATAGTGTTACAGAGAGATAAGGGGAAGGGGAGAGAAACATGATGTTGTAAATCAGAAGATAGTCTTTGTAGTCACCAGTGTGAGAACCTCAGATCCAAGCTTATGGAATTTCTTTCATGTAACTGCCTTCATTATCAATTCACTTTTTCCCTTAGAATGCGTATTTAAAAAATCTGAAATTTATGTCCTTTACAGTTAGAGGCCAAAGCTTGGTAAGATTGTAAAAGATTTTTAGCTTAATTATAGACTTCTCCTGAATTTATTATTCTTTCAGTTTCACTGTGAATGTCAGGTTTATTTATTCTATGTCTTTTGAGGTATTTCAGTTCTGGCACACTTTTATGGTGTTGCTTATTTTGTCAGAGATTCAGTTGTGGAATGTCATTTCAGATTAATCATTGTCAGCATTACAAGTGCAAATATTAGGAAATAGATGAGATGTTTCTGTTTCAGTGTCTTACAGTTTCTAATATTTATTCCATAGCAAAAGTCTGGAGTCTTCCTTAGCAGAAAAGGATGATCTTAAATGTGTAGAACTATACGTGTCCCTGTGCAGTCAGAACAAAGTACTTCAGCACTCAAAATGCCAGCATCTGGTGTCCTTTGTTAGTGATACTGTACATTTCTGGCACAATCTACTGAAGCAGAAGTTTTCCACGTGAGTATTATGAAGTTATGTGTAACTGTAATTCTTCAGCAGACAGTATGAACATGCACTAACTTCACACTCATGAATGAAACGCCAAAACTTGTATCTATCAACTTTTGCAGGGGCTGCTTTCAAAAGAGTGGTCTCCTAACTCAGAATTATATAACTTAAAATTGTTGATGATCAGCCTCTAACAGAAATGAGTACCAGGGATGTTCCTGGGGGGTGAAGGGCAGCTGGCGCATAAGGTTGACAGCCTCACTGCCATCTTTGTGTAAGATTCCTGGTACTCATTTCTGTTAGAAGCTAGAATCACAATTTTCTGCACACACTTAGGATGGCAATATTCATAAGTGAGTGGGCTCTCTCACCCCCCCCCCCCCCCNTGGATCCTTATGTCTCCCACCCCTGAGTGGGACACACCCCACCATTTCAAATCCTCAGGTCTAGAGGCTAGCCAAGTTCTAACTGTATTTTACTGTTGGAATATAAATTAATATTACCTAAACAATACATTGACAACACAAGATTTCTAGAACTGGAGGTATGCAATATGGAAGTAAGCATTGAGTTCTACCCAGAATGCCTTTTGTTCCCCCCTCCCCATTACTCCTGTACTACAGAATGGAATTGATACATCCAAACTGAACATAATTTTGAGGGGCTGTTGCAAGAATGTTTTTTAATGTTGAAATGGGGTTGTAGGCTACTATGAAATTTAAAATATTTATTTGCTCAAAATCTGAATGTGAAGAAGGTTAATTTTATATATATGTGTGTGCTGTATTTAATGCTAGAGAGTTTGAAGCAGTACTGAAAGCGATAAAGTGGCCGTTTTTGAACGTCGTAGCCACTCCACCACCAGATGCCCTTCATCGATTCCAGCTTTTTACAGAATTTCTGCTCAAGCTACAACTGCCGTATCCTTCACAAATCTTGTAGCATGCCTAGGTTACAAAATAGTGCTTAGATTTTGTGTACATTGATATTGAAGAGGCCTGCTGATATAAAAATGGCATATTGGTGCAAATATGTGACTTTAACTCACACAAACTGAATTCATGTGAATCTCTAAAGTCAGTGGTGTGCTTCTGTCATGGTCCTGTAACTACATCCAGTATGTTACTACTGTTTAGCCTACTTCCTTCGTTTTGAAAAAAAAAAAAATGAAAGGAGTCTTATGAGATCACCTTGCTGGCTGTGTATCTCCCCTACCAATTTTTTTGTCTTCTATGCAGTCTATCATATCGAAGAAAAGTAGGCAGTTAGTTCTTCTGATCACTACTTGTTTTATTTTTTATTTTCATTCCTTATAATTTGGTATTGCTATTTGGCTATTGGTCGGCCTCTGTGGTCTAGTGGTCAGAGTTTGAGTCCTGGTGCTACCAGATTTTCTGACAACTAGTGGGTCTGGAAGGGGGTCTGCTCAGCCTTATGAGGATAATTGAGGAGCTACTTGAATGGAAATAGTGGCTCTATTAACAGCCGTGGGGATTTGTTGCGCTGACCACGCAATACCCTCTATCCACTGAAGTTGGCACTAACTTTGACTACAGGTGGCAGTTGCTCCATTGGTATGGTTCACTCGCAGACTAAAATCACGATTTTTTTTATTTGACTATTGTATAATACATTTTACAATGGAAGAGCTTATTAAAATTCAGCAGGAAGTAATTTCTTTTGTACCTTCAACCTTTGTTTCCATTCTTCCTCTCCTATATCTCCTTCATGCCTTATCTCATTCAATAGAGCGAACTAGTTCAAATGGTAATACTGACTTGTATTTAGGTGTCAAGATGAGGCATCAACTATCTTGCTAAGGTTTATCATGGTTTTCTCCGGTCCCTCTAAGTAAATGCAGGGTAGTACCTCAAATGAGGTCATAACTACTTCCTTCTGCATCCTATCTTGTATAGTCTGAGATACTGACAGCATTGCTCTGAAAACCATAAAATAAATTTATTTTATTCCCTTGTTTCTCCATTAAAACAGTGAATTACTTTACATGTGCATCTCCATGTGACATAATTTTGAATGTAGTACTGCCATTTGCATAAGTACATTAAAATTGGTGGACAATATTAAAATGGATCTTAAGAGAGATTGGCTGGGACAGTATGGATTGGATTGATCTGGCTCAGGATAGGGACCAGTGGAGGGCTCTTGTGAACATGGTAATGAACCTTCACATTCCATAAAGCGCTGGGAAATTCTGGAGTAACTGCAGATTTGGCTTCTCCTCAAGAAGGAGGGCTCAGCTCCATAAGTAAGTAAATGCAAGTTATTTCCTTAACCTGAAATCAGTGAAGATCTCTTGCCTCAACCAGTAGTTACATCTACACTTTTGACAGATTTTGCTCCTTTGTGTCTACCCATTTCCTTGTTGATTCGTCCACTAAGGAAACGATTCCTGTTTCACTTCTATGGGACAAGACAGACAAACCGTCCTGACAAGCCAGAGTGGTTCTTCACACAGATACTGACATGGATACGGGATCATGAGAAGTTTGTGAGCCAGTGGGTGCAACCGGTGCTGAATATGAATAATATGCACCCCATATCGGCTAAGGTGACTCATCTACTCTTTTAATTCCATATCACTCTTACACATAATAGTTTCGGTTGGTTCCAAGACACTGAGCATTGTAGTGAAATATGAATGAAACAGCATTAAGCGGAAGTGTCTGTGCCACACAATTTACATAACTGCTGTAAGCCAGGACTGCTTGAAATTGGATTATCAGGCCATGTACAGCCAAGTAGACTTCAAGTATTGATTGCTGAATAGCTCTAAAGTTAATGAAGAAAGTTGTCTTCTGGGTTTAGGCACCGTGTATTCTTCGTTTTGGCCGACGTTTCGGAGGAACGTAGCGCCTCCATCTTCGGAGCAGTTGAATANAAATGTAGCAGACCTATAAATGTGATATGTGATGCCATGTAAATTAGTAGATGCTGTAACATGTATAGCTAGGCAACAGTTTGGTAAACACATTTTTCGCTTAGTGGGGGATGGAGTCCAACTGGGTCTACTTGACATGGCAGCCACTAATTGGCCTACTGTAGCCTGCCCCGGGTGATTATGATGGAGAATTTGGTGGAATGAAGATTGGCAGGGGAAACCGAAGTACTTGGAGAAAACCCGCCCCAGCGCCACTTTGTTCACCACAAGTCCCACTTGACCAAACCCGGGATTGAACCCGGGCCGCCGCGGTAGGAAGCCAGCGACTAACTGCTTGAGCAATGGCACAGCTGCTTTGGTAAACACATACTACAGATGTAAACCAGAAGTGATGATTTGTCAAACATAATGTGAAATTGCCAACATAATTTATAATCATCAGAAGCTTAGAACTGGTTTTCCAAATTTCACTACAGCTGGAGATGATGCGTGGATTGGTACAACTGGCAGTGGAGAAGCTTCACTCAGAGCTGCCACATCTAAAGTATGATGATACACTCTTCTCACATACTGTTGATGAGACACTTGGGTTTCATCATGAGTTACGTGAGAGTTTTGGTTACCCATCTTCTCAGCCAAGTGTCATTGGTGTTCTCACTCAAGCACAGATTTTTGTAAAATGGATCCATATGGAGAAGAAATGTAAGTCACTATGTAATATCTACAAAAGGAATTAAAGTAAACTTAACAGTCTGCTATTTAAATATTGATCAGTTTATATTGAAGGTTTTATTGTATTGAATATCTCCATTTGTGATTCTCACCTTTGTTTGCCCAGTGAGGTTATTGAAATGTAGCAATCTATTTGGTTGATTTTTCTTCATTCATTCATTCATTCATTTATTCAGCATTCCATAAATCCTTACATGGTTAAACACCAATGGATATAGAAATAGTCAACATGAGTAAACAAGCTCACATACTACATCACAATTGTGTAATGTCATACCATTCTTCTTCAAATGATAGGACAATAAAGATAATGATAGATGGCATTGCTTCATATTTGTGTGAAACTTGTTCTGTCACTCTAGAGGCAGAATATAGAATCAGAATATTTTGAGAATAGGCTGCTAAAATGAGTACTTGGATATATAAAAAAGAGAAGTAACAGAAGGCTATGGAAAATTGCATGAGAGAAGCTTCATCTTCATTAGATACAAGGTGGTTCAAATATGACCGGGACTGATTTGTGTGTAAACAAGCCGCACTGCGCAGCAGCTGTGCGACCTTGAGAGAGTGAAGCCACAACCTCTACCCTCTCTCCTGTTCGGGTTAGAACTTATTCAGTCCTGTCTGGGAGTTGCTAGAGTGATGAGTGAACAGAAGGTACCGTGGAGTGTGGAACAGTGCATTGTGATCAAATTCCTCGGAGAAAACGTCCCGTCCGCTGAAACTCACCATAGACTCCAACAACAGCATGGGTAAGAGTGTCTCTCACAGACCCGCGTGTTTGAGTGGTGTAAGTGCTTCAGAGAGGTCAGAGAGTGCGTGAAGAATGAACCGCATGATCATCATCTGCGAACATCCATCACTGAACCAAACGTTGATCGTGCAGATGAGCTTATTCATGAGAATAGGCGCATCACTCTCAAGGAACTTGGAGCAATGTTGTCCATCAGTGTTGATAGTGTAGAAGACATTGTGAAATGCCATCTTCACTATCGCAAGGTGAATGCACGGTGGGTACCACGCACTTTCACGGCCGTGAACAAAATGGTTCATATGCAAGCTGCCAGTCATCTCCTGCAGCAGTTTGAAGACGAAGGTAATGCATTTTTGAAGTCTGTAGTGACCACTGATAAAATGTGGATGCATTACTTCATTCCTGAGTCCCAGCAGTCATCACATGAGTGGCGGCATACCAGTTCTCCCAAACCCAAGAGAGCACGGGGGAGCCGTTCGGCAGGAAAAGTGATGGCAACGTTCTTCTGGGACTGGCAGGGGGTTATCCATGTAGACTTTCTGGCAAATGCCAGAACAGTCAATGCAGCTTATTACTCAGACTGCCTGGCAACAGACATGAAGGAAAAGATCCAATCAAAGCGGAAGACAGGTGGAAAGCGGGTAGCCTTCCTTCAAGACAATGCACGCCCACATATGGCCAAAACAACAATGGAAACCCTCTGGAAATTTAAATGGAACCTTCTGACACATCCGCTGTACAGTCCCAATTTGGCCCCAAGTGATTTCTACCTGTTTGGAAGGCTCAAATCAGACTTGCAAGGCATGCGGTTTGTGGACGACACTGTCATCCAGACTGTTCGGGAGTGGATACGCTGCCAACCACAAGCCTTTTTTGAAAAGGGCATCAGGATGCTTCCAGAACTTTGGAGAAAATGTGTTGAGTCCGGGAGGGAGTACGCGTTGAAGACTGACATGTGCAAGTAAGTGTTGGGAAATTATGTTTTTCTTTTTTTAAAAGTCAGTCCCAGTCATATTTGAACCACCTTGTATTATTAGAAGGATCAAAGTAGCAAGATTAGATGGACAAAACATGTGAAACCTCTTTAGGAGATGAGGAATATGAATACAGTTTCAGGCAGGAAACCTGAAGGGACTATACAACTTTGGAAGTATAAACATAGGTTTAGGGAGGCTTATATTATGGTAGATTTTAAATACATCACTATTATTGTGGAAATGTGTAATAAAAGGAACTTCAATTTATGACTTACTGTTGTTTTATATCATTCAAACTTCAAGTAATGTTCCCGGTTTTTTTTAAACTTGTCTGGATCACATTTTAAAGCTTTATGGTTTGGAAGAGACTGGCTATCCAGAGTAAAGTTCTGTTGTCTCCTCAGGTAACTTTCTCTAACATCTTTCCTGAGTTATCATTCATAATTTTCATACAATATTTCCATTGATGCCATATTATCTCATGGCTGACATGACATCAAGAAATAAGTTACAATTTCTGCTTCATGGAACAGTTTAATTGTGTGCTATCTTAGGTTCAGTAGTAGTTTATAGTTAAATGGAATACGTATTTTTGACTGTTACTTCAACCCAGACTTTTTTTAATGTGTTGCAGATGCAAGAGAGAAGATGGATGCCATACTAAGCTCAGATACTGCATGGCTTCCATTAGGAACTCCAGAACTTGATGAACTGCGAGTCACGGAATGTGGTGAGAGTTTCCTCACCCTGCTGCTCACTATAACAGAACGATACAGCAGTTTACCCCAGCCTGGGCATCGGCTACAATTCTTGGAACTACAACTAGAGTTGCTTGATGAATTTCGAGTTCGGTTACTGCAGCTGTTACACGAAAACTTAGACCCACTCAGCCCACGTTTTATAGCCATCCTCAACACCATCAGCTACCTGGCATCAGTCTTACAAGAATGGGGTGGTCTCACGGTACTTTCCCCTACTTGTCTAAAAAGTATAGTAATAATATACTCTTGCTGGTACATCAGCATTGCAGTGCAGAACTGGTCATGGCCTCCTTGATGTAGATACAGGGCTGAAGGGTTTACAGTAGGCAATGGGCAGGTCAGGCAGTGATAATTAAGTTTGGTTTCATCAGGAGACAGTTTTTTGAACAGTCAGATATATCCTTTACCAGTGAATAAATGTGAGCATGGCTGTGTGAGTGATTCAGTAGGTGAGTTTGTAAATGAGCAAAAGAATGAATACAAGATTGAATGCACATATTATGCCAGATATAGACCAGGATTTTCATAATTCAATTTGTAGTGTTATTCTTAGGAATGAAACCCTGATTTCTGATTTGTCATTTTTCAAGAACATGGGGGGGGGGTGAAAAGAACATCATCAAGAAGTTAGGCATACCAAGTGTTGTAAGATTTGAGGCTTTCACGGCGGTGACTATGAAGAAAGCAGTCTTCTGGGATTTGGCACCATGTATATGTGGTGTTAACCGACGTTTCGGAGGAACGTATCGCCTCCATCTTCAGGGTAGAAGAAAAAATATAAGAAATCTGCAAGCGAAGAGACCGTGAGAACCGGTAAAAGCAGACTGACATTCCTCCGAAACATCAGTTAACACCACATATACATGGTGCCAAATCCCAGAAGACTGATTTCTTCATACCAAGTGTTACTTACTGTATCAGAATAGTGTAAACATGGAACTACCTACAGATATGACATCTGTGTTACAGCACTTCCTACAGCTGCAGTATTATAAAGTCCAGTTCGATAACGCTAGTACAAACCAAGGAACTGGTAGCTCAGAACTGGAAGGTCTCCAAGGGACAGTGTTTGATGACATATTGGGACTTATGTTGCGAATGAAGGATGAGCTCATAACCTCTTTGTGTGAAGCAGTGATGATGGACATCATGGCTCGTAGTCGTGAGTACAGGAAAGACAAGTGAGTTACTGAAGATTGTTATATTGCAATGCTGATCTTTGTATGCCTGCTTTGCAAACAGGACAGTTATATGAATTATGGTTTTAACTTATGGGCCAAGATTCACGTCACGTGAGAAAAGTTAATTGCTGGAATATGTATCACTTTAGGACTGCATGCAAAGATAGGAAACAGCCAGCGAGGTATAATGTGCCCATGAGGCATTAACTAACACCATGTAACATAGTCTTTCTGAAGCTAATCTAACTCTTCTCGCTCCAAAGTTGAAAGGCTACATGGTGATTTCATAAGCCCGTGTCTTATCGTTAAGAAAATTGGTCATATACAGATTTTAATGCATGAAGGCATTAAACATGTTCATAATTGTTCCTTGCCTCTTAATGGAGTTCATGATAATTGTGACAACTGTCATTGTTCAAGGTGGTTTGCAATGCCATCACCAAAGGAACTGGTAAACCCAACAGTGACGCCCAGTGTGTGCCTCATGTTCCAAGTACTGGCCGAACGACTTCACCAACTACAAGAACGGCTATCCGTTCCACTGTTCAGTGAAGCTTGGCAGACACTTGCACGTCAACTTAACCAGGCATGTGATGAACACGTGCCACATTTTCTCACACACAATAGATCTCCAGTGCGGAATGTTTGCAATGTATCCTCACTCTCAGAGCTTGCTACAAGCCAACATGCACTATAGCTATTGCTAGCAATGTAAAATTAAAAAAAAGTTCGTATAATACTAACAAGAGAGCTGCACATTGTAAAGAAAACCTGATACGAGTAGAATAGCTGTTGAAAATTAAACGTGAAAATTTGACAGTTCCCATTTCCCTTCCATTGGTCCATCCAATCATATACATTGTAGTCCTTGAGGAACACTCTGCAGTCATTGAATATTCATGCTGTGAACTTGAATATTTATTGATAGATAAGATAAACTGGTAAAAATTTGTACTTCTTTTGGCCTATGGACGATGGATGAAGTCCAAAACAAGCCAAAATAAGTACAGTATACACCATTGTCAGAATGCAACAGTCTGTTGTTGTCCTGATGATTTTTTCACCACACTCCCGGTTGTCCTAAAGTTCTCTACCCACAAAACAATCGATTTCCGGTAAGGAACCGGACCTGTGGGCTTAATTCCAAAGTGAGTACAAAACGCACGCTGCACTGCCACGTAGGAATGGTTGTTCGAAAAATAGGCTTCGACAGCAAACGCATGCTGCTCACTCATCCACCTCATGTTTCATACCGAGGGGTATTAGACAGAAACTTCCGCGACTGCTGCGTTTGCTGAGCCTATCCCCACTTTTCTGCGACCTCCCCTCCCTGCACAATGCGCCTTCACAAAAAGTAAGTTTCTGCGCCCCACCCTGTATTACAGCAAACATTGTCCTACCTAGACTAATTATATAGATATATTATAGTTCTGCTAACATTATAAAGATAGGTAAATCATAAAAATTAATCAATATACCAAAAATGACTCACACACAACAAAAAGTAAAATCCTGATTGATTTCACTTTCTGAAATAGTGTTACACCTATGTTCAGTTATATAGTTGCTAATTCATTCAACATGCCATATGGTGAAGACAAAATGACAAGTAAGTCATAATGGACTCTGAACATAGTGTAGTTGGGGGAATGAAGAAATGTATACAGAATTGCAAGGGAGATCACCTGAAAGATCTGTCTTTCCAGAACTTTTAAAATTTATCAGAGTTAGATATTTTTATGATGTTTTTAACAATTTCCCATTGAAGTGTCAAATGGGCTTTATGTTAATATTAGATAATAACAAAATATAGTTATGGTGTATGTTTCAATATATTTCTAAATATGGTACTGTGTTATAGTTCATCTATGAAGAAGTGATACTGCAGAACAACTTCAATGAGGGTGGAGCAATGCAGTTGCAATATGATATGACACGGAACATGTTCCCACTTTTTGGGCAGTTCACTCAGAAGCCAGACATCCACTTTCCTCAGTAAGTGAATTATCATTATCATACATACATAATTTTCCTCACAGTTTACTGTTTCTTACCATGTACCTAATAGAGAACTCTCAAAGATATTATGGCAGTTACTCTGTACTTTTGCTACTATGTGATTGAAATCTATTCCCAATCTTTTTTCTTTTCTATTTTTTAATTGCTTGAATATACAGGGAGGAATTTTACTTTTTTGACTGGTTCCATGGCTCTGCGCTTCACAGTGACCGGTGCACCACATGCTGCAAGACATACAAATTTTTCTCACTGTGGTAATGAAATCCCTTATAAGTTCACATTATAACACCTACTTCATGTTTTACAGGATAAAAGAGTCGTGCATTTTGTTGAACCTCTCAAAAGGATCTGCCCTTCTTCTAAGGGATACACTCAGGTCATGTCTGACAGATGATGAACTGGAGGGTTTACAGGAAGAAGAAGTGCTGTCAGAAATTGGAGTTCACCGACTTGATGCAAAAAAATCCATTGATGTCCTGAACCTTCGCACAGATCTCACACACATTTAATTTGTCACTGGTGAACATGACTCAGTACTACTACAAAGACCCCAAAAGTGAGTCATGTTGTTTTCTTCAAAATTCATATTTTGACATTTGATGTTCTCGTGACAGTGACTATGAAGGTTAGTACCTTTTGGAATGTGATGGTGTGTGGAGTGATAGAAGTTTACCAGTGTTTTGGAGGAACTTTTAGAGTTGAAGAATGAGGAAAGCAAGAAAATGGTTTAGGGCTTGCTACATTATTGTTTCCTTCCTGTGCTTATTTTTTGATCTTGAAGCTGGAGATAAACTTCTACCAGATCACATAATGTCTCGTCCCGGAAGATAGTACTCTTTTGTTCATCTTATTTACATAATATTTATGTGAATATACATGCAGCCTTAGGCTGGGGCCACACGAGCGCACAAAATGCATCCGTTGTAAGGAGTGTACTTTATGACGGACGTTTCTGAGTACGCCTCACAGTTGCAGAATGCAGTGCATAGTTTTTTGTCTGCAGTGGAGCCAGAAGGAAGCGTAGCATTCACCTCTCTTGTTTATTTCTACAACGGACGCATTTTGTGTGCTTGTGTGGCCCCAGCCTTAATTGTATATGCTATTAATACTCTAAGTAATTCCATCATATATTTTTGCACTTCATTAGAAATTAGGTGGGCTATAAATTCCAACCTGGTAAATGTCTTTTTCATCCTCATGCAGTCACATTTGCACACAATTCTATAGCTTTCTCATTTCCAAACTAATAACAAAATGGATTATTTAGTGTGTCATCGTATGACAATCAGGCACAGCTAGACATTCACCACATTCAGTCCCTCAGTTTTGTCTTTCAGCTTATGTGGAGTTTTTCATTGTCATATATGAGAAAGAAAGCTGCATTTATTTCTGAAGGTGTTAAAGATTTAAAATTTGCATGGAGAAATAGCTGTTCAAGATTGGTGTGAAAACTGTCTTCTGGTATGTGCTGCTATGTAGTCTGGTATATGACATATCCCAGAAAAGAGTACTTTCATGATTGCTACTGTGAGAACAGAGAATCCAGCAGCGAAGAACATCAGAGGGAAAATAAATAAAGTTACCTACTTACTTNTGGCCTATACACGCACGCGGCCTGTACATGCGTAAATACGGTATTTGTTAATGATATATTATGTGAGAATACTTCAACGCTGACCAGTAATATCTGTAAATTTTTATGGTGTCTCAATCAAATGTAATTTGTTTATGGTTTAATTAAAATTTGAAAACAAGTTTTATTTTTTTATTGCTGTTATTCCCAGTTTCGTACTTTGTATGTTATGGAATGTCCAACATTGTTAGTAGAACAAAGGATCAATACTACTAAAACATCCACCACAGTCTATACCTCCATATTCCTCAATGTTGGGCCTTTATCCTTATGTCACCCTTAGACATGTACATACTGTCTAATTTCAAGGGGATAGTCAAGATTTGATAATTCTTCCTTAATATTGTATTTCACCCCATTGGCTCATGCTTTTGGAAGAAGCAGCAATCAGTTTTTCTGCTAGTGAGAAAAAACATGTATATGGTTTTAGTCTTGGAATCAGTATGTTTATTCTCTGTGCTGTTTGAGCTTATTTGTACTGGAGAGAGGTCACAATGCTACACAGCTCTTAAGTTTTGAATCAACTGTAGTTCAGAATGAATTACAGGAAATTAAACAAGACCTCAAGTTCAGGTTCACAAGAAAAAAAATACAAGTTAAAGCATCTAATGCAAAGTTATCATATACATGAAATACTGGACTCATCATAGCAGGCTCCCTGCTTAAATAGAACTCCAGCCATTTAAATCTGAGGTCATGTATATTGGAATCACGTTAGACAAAAAAGTTCCATTCTTCAAATCACATACACAGTCTGTACTGAATGAAGTACATAGACTGGGCCAGTTATACCCCATCATAAGTTTAAATTTAATGCTATACAAAACTTACTAAGATCTGTACTAACTTACTGCAATGTCATGTCCGAAAGCTGGAATAGTGAAAGAGCAGATGTCCATTGCTAGGCAAATGCTCAGTAAACACATTCCTGCGGCAATGAATATGCAAGAGCCCTATAAACATGCCTTCTCATCAACAGAGAGAGGCGGTTTTTTTCTGCATGGTCCATGTCAAGGGGTTATAAGAAGAACAAAGAATACTGTTTGAGTCAGTTGAATTTCAAGACACCAGCCTACCAGGATATGAGCTTGGGAGCAGAGGAATTAGTACTGAGAGAGTCAGCAGTTGACAATGACTGAGGAGAAATGGCAAGAAAGGAATTAGGCTGTGCAAAAAAGACTTCCTATGTGATTTGACAGTGAGACTGTTATAAAATCTGTTGCCAGGATACAACCAGTGAAGACTGAGAATCCTAGTGCATGTGTAACGGTGAATTGTAAAGTATGTAGATTAGCGATGATATATCACTTTTAGTTACAAGTTGAATGTATAAGGCGTCAATACATCCAATCCAAAACCCATCTATAAGTCACGCACACACCCCTAGATGTGACATTATTATGTGCTGATATGCGGCACTGTATGCAATCAAAACCTACAGCACTTCCAAAATAAATGTCCGAAAATCATATCTAAATAATAAAGACTGCAGCAATAAAAAGAAGAAGTTCTGGGAGAACTAATTACGTACTTTCTTTAATGTGACATGGACTGCATAGAAAATGATGCATCGAACGATTCTATTGTTTTTGTGTGTATTTGTTGCCATGGTAATGTTTTTACTGAGCCATTGCCTAACAGCGATAAGGGGATTTTTACCAAACCATTGCCTAGCAATGTTAGGAGGATACACATACACACACAGACTGATGGAACGAATTTACAAAGTACACCTTTGAAATTGGCTCAGGTGCCATAATATACATACAAAATTTCATGAACATTGGTTCAGTCATTCAAAAGTTGATACAGTGGATGCAGAGACAGCATGGAGATCACATTAGCCTACTTTAATTTTTTCAAAATAAGAAAAGTAATGTAAAAATTGCACACCATTGTGGGCGTGCGGCTGATGTCTGGGACATCCTAACCTGACACTATGACAGGTATGACAATATGACACAACTCTAGACAAATATAAAACATCAAGGACTGCAGTGAAGTATAAAGATTTGAAGAAGGTAAGCATTTAGAAGAACTGAACGTCTTCAGTGGTACGAAATATCTGAGGGAAGGGAAGTGAGAAATCATTCCATCTTAGTGTCGACACATTATACACAAGATGAAGAATGAACCATGTATTGAAGTATGTGATTAAAACTGCTTCTGCTGTTAGATGAACTTTATACCATGAAAGGTATGAATGAAGTGTTAGACAGAGGGACTGAGCTTTAAGTGGAATCTAACACAGAAGACTTATTTGTATGCAAATACACTGTATTTCAGTAAGAAATTGCGAACATGCAGATATATGCGTGTATTTCAATTGCAGACACTGTTTGTCTAAATTGTCATCTATTGGACTGTGATAACCCGGAGGATGGCAACAGCACGTTCCTCTAGAACACTGGTATCTGCCTACAAGATTGTATATTTCACTCCAGATGACCACAATTTGGAAATCTCAAATTCTACATCAAAAAGGTAAAATGTGAAGTTGTCTGTTTGCTTAATTAAGCACCATGCCATAAACACCTTTGGGGAGTGGAGGTATAGCTCCATCATTCTTGTCCTTGACATCAGATGGCAGTGAGTCGTCAGCCTCACACCCCTGCCACTTTTCTCCCGAGGAAAGAGCCCCTAGTACCCATTGGCTATGAGGCTAGGTGGACGGCAGAGCTGGGCTGGATGCTGTGGAGAAGTAGAAACCTGGCCGTCCAGCCCATAACCCATCACTATACCAACTGAGCTATCCCGGCACCGCCTCCAACAACTTCTCCACCGTTGCGCGTTCATTCGTTACCGCGGACAAGTGTTTAACGCGCCGTTACCTAGAAATTGCCGCGTGGAAAACACTTCGTCCTGTATTGCTGCATCTGTATCTGTTGCTGCTGTATCTGTCTGCCTCGCCATTGTCTAGCAATGGTACAGCCACCATTTTTTTTTACATTCTACAAACAAACGAAAAGTTCTGGGAAGTACTAATTGCCTACATTCTTTTCAATATAATTTGAGTATTTGATATGATAAGCAGAAAAAATCTTTAGAGTATGTCTGTAATAAAGTCAATAAAACATACGTTATGAGAAACTACAATATTGGTATTATTGATGGGAGAGACTTATGAAGCGGGCAGTTTAAATGGCCTCAGGTGGCATGACATACGTTCCAAGTTTCATATATATATATAAAGGTCCGGCCGGCACGTAAGGCTGACAACCTTCCCGCCATCTATGAGCCGATTGTCTACAGAATGTTGGAACCGCAACACCTCACAACCCTATGGGCCTCCATGGCCTGTTACAGGGATAGCTTTACTTATATATATATATATATCTGTTCAGGCGTTCAAA